TTCGGCAAGGGGCGGCATAGAAATGTTATAATAATAATAATAATAATAATAATAATAATAATAATAATAATATTTTTTTTTAAAATACTGTTATCTGTTTCTGCAGCTTCAGAAGAGCTGACAATTGCTGGTATGACTTTCACTACCTTTGATCTAGGTGGACATGCCCAAGGTAAGTGATGTTAACATGAAGAAGGCTAGTTTTGTTCATATTAGCACAAGAATATGGATGGATTAAATCAAATTTTTAATCTTGCTTTGCTGCTTGTCAAAAGTTAATACACTGCATTCCCCCCCAAAAGTTAAAAATCTTTTTAACTGGGCAGTACACAGATCTGCCCATCTGCCAACAGGACTCACCTCTAGCACTTTAAAAGCAGATCAGCCGAGCTTGCAGAAGGAGCTCCTCCTAACTTGTCTGAATCCAGAAACATATGCTACTGCTTGTTTCCAGGGTTGCTTTTTATAGTGGTGACTCTCTATTGCATTAGTGGTGGATTGATGGAGCATTAAATACTACTAATTGTAATTAGACTGTAATCTCTTGGGTAAAGTCAGGGTAAGGGTAAGGGTACTGAATGGGATGAAGACAAGTTAAATATTACATCACATTATGACCTGTTTTGCATATCACAGTGAAAATTTCTGGTTGCTTGAACCAGAAATTGTGGAAAAAAGCAGTGTGCATGCATTTGTCATTTAAACTCTTAATTGACAGCAGTGAATGCCCAGTTCCTGTGTTTTTTCTTGACATGCAAACTCAGAAACAATCCAGTTAACCGAGCAACATATCATGTGCATTTGGTTAACACTGGGTTGTTTGACCCAGTTAAAATTCTGGATTTGCACATCATGAAAGCATCTAGGAATAGGACAGTGGAAACAGCACACAGCTCTCACCCTTCTCTTGTTCTTGCACTTCCTAGGCTAAATAATCCAACAATTGCTGTCATGATGTGTGAACCATGTCTTTTAATAGCTTCAGGATAATTGCAGCACTTGGTGTTCAATCTAATTCATCTGTGTGTGTGTGTGTGTGCGCGCATGCATGCATGCATGCATGTGTGCATGTAGGTTTGTTTATTATTAAACTGAAAATTTAATGTAGGCATACATTAGTCTCTGATTTTTAAGGGTTCAAAGTAATGTATACATCTGCTTTTATTACTCCTTAAAAACTAGGTTAAATGTAGGTAAAGCAAATAATTAAAATTATTAGATACACATTTGGCTTTTTCCAGTGCTGCATACTACTAGGGTGAATTGTTTCCCCAGTTTTACTTGATTTGTGTTTATATTCTTCAACCTGGATGCTAGGGGCAATATGCCACCATCTCAAGCCATTAGCACAAATTACATTGTGCCAGCATAAGGGGCACCTAGGAAAATGCCAGTTAACTAGTGTGTCAGGAATTCCTCAGGAATTTCTTTGCACTAGCTAATACACTTGGCATAGCACTAGAAATCCCTTATGCTAGCACAACCTGATTTGCATTAGTTGGTTGACTTGGTAGAGTACTACCCCAGGGATCCAGTGGATTAAATACAGCAGTTTCTAAAACACAGCAAATGCTAGAAGAGAAGGGATCTTCGCAGTTGTATAAAGGATCAGTATTCCCAAAGGTGATAGGACAGTTTATTTTTCAACTTCTACCTCTAAATTAGTCCTTTTTTAAGTTGCAAGCCATTTACTTGAATGTCATGTGCTGTAGCACAAGTTTAGATATAAATGCATGGATATAAAGACTGTTTCTCACCATAAAAATAATATGGTTTTCAATTTTAGAGCCTGTAGTTCACACTGTGGAACAAAAGGAAGTGGGCTTTTAAAAAGCTTTTTAAATATAGATCCAAAGGCCCTTTTTACAGTTTCTGTTGCTTAACGAGATGCCATTAGCTATTATGAACAGAGTCATGAGAGTAACAGATAATTTCCTCTTGCAGTTCATTTATAACCCTCTTTTGTTAGCTCGCAGAGTTTGGAAAAACTATCTGCCTGCCATTAATGGCATTGTCTTTCTGGTGGATTGTGCGGATCATGAAAGGTTGGCTGAATCTAAGCAAGAACTTGATGTGAGTTTTATATTTGGTGTCTGTTAAAATACTAAGAGAAATGCATGTCATTGTGATGTGTAGAGAGGAAAGGGGTAAGGCCTGGGTCTTGCAGAGTGAGCTAAGCATGCAACTTCCCTGGGTCCTTGCTGCTGAAGGCTGGACCACCATATTGTCAAGGTCTAAGTTTGCTCATACCACACTTGTGTCCTCAAGTACAGTAAGCAGTAAAATAAATATTCATCATGAGTAAGTATTAAAACGGCAATATAAGATAGTATACATAGTAAGGAGTTGAATATGTGCAGAATCAGCAAAAGTGTCAATTTCATTAAAGCATCTGTGCAATATACTAGAAAATAATTACATATAACTGAATATAAACATGCACCATTGACATTCCCAAATATGTATGACTATATACTTCCCAACAGTTAAATTACGTATATATCCTCCTCACTTTCCCTACTTCCATTTCAGTTTATAGCAAGCCAATCCACTCAGCAGTTTTTGGAGTTTCAGCATAATTGTGCTTCATAGAAGTGTGGAATCTTTTTGAGATATTTATGGATTAATACAGGAAAAATTATACTTATATAATCAGTATCCAATTCATTTATTGTAAGCAGTGTAAGAAGACACTGCTGAATGTTAGTCTTGCAGAAGATATGAGCTTATTTGGCACTGAAGGATAGCTGCAGCTAACATTTATTTGGGTGCAGGAGGAAAATGCATGAATGCCTTTTGAATTGTCAAAGGAAAATTTCACATCTGGGGAATTGACTGATTATTGATTATATAAACTATGGTTGCTCTTTCTGCTTGAACGAGTTTGTTTTAATAAAAGCTTCCATTATTAAAGTGTAATTCAGAAAGCAGCTCAATGGATTGACTTGCTGTGAAATGAAAAGCATATGTGATTTATAAACTATTATCTTTTTTGACTTGATGATACTCAAGCATGAATTCTGAACTATAGATGGCATTAAATTATGTTGATTCAATGCTTTATTTGGCTGTTTTATGTTTTATTAAGTTTATTCATTTATGAACTTAATTTAAAAAAGTATAATAAAGAGACATTATCTGATTATTGTTTTCATACTGGTCTGGCATACCTGGTGTGTTCTACAGATCTATATGATGCTTTAATCAGTGATTTTAAAAATTTGTTCATTACATATACAGTTCTCTAAAGCTTAGGGTGTGGGTTAATGTGAGTGAAGAGAAATGCAGCATGGATTTGGAAGTGGTAAATGATGTGTCATTTCCTTCTCTTCCCCTTGCTTGTATACACGAACCTTCTTTGGATCTTTCTTCAGAGTTTTAGGTCCACAGTATCTTCTTGCATAATTGAAAAGCATCATTCAAATTCATAATGTGTAGTAATGTACTTGAAAGAAAGTCATGTTGTAGTTAATGATGGTCTTCTCTTTTGAATGTAGCTTGATTTTGATATATAAGAGAGATTGTACAATCAATATGGCGATATGGGACTTCTGGAATCTACATCTACAGTGGATTTCTGGAGTCTCTATGTTTGATAAAATCTGTCTGGCTGTATACAATCTAAAATGTATATGCTCTCTTTTCTCTTCATAGGCACTAATGACAGATGAAACTATTGCTAATGTGCCTATTCTAATTTTTGGTAACAAGATTGACAGACCAGAAGCCATCAGTGAAGAAAGATTGCGAGAGATTTTTGGCCTGTATGGCCAGACAACAGGAAAGGTATAATGCTTTTGTTTGCAGTTCTCTCAACTGCATAGCTTCAGTGTGTAGGTCATTTTCTTGCTCAAGTGTTTGAGATCTGCTTTATTCTTAGGTTACATAAAATCCTGGAACACTCTCATAAGCAGGTGCCTGCAGTCACAGTATTAACATTTCTCTTTTTTTAGAAGATCTCTTAAGGTGGTACATATGTTAATTTTAAAATAATGAAAGAACATGTAGAAAGCTTACAGCTCTTAGTAGAAACTTTTATTTTATTTTATTATTTTTCAAAATATATGAACAACCTTTTATGTACTAGGGATCCTGGGGTAGTATACATGACATATTTAAAACAAATACAATATAAAGATCATTCAAATTGAAAAGCAAAAAGGGCAACAGCAGCCACCCCAAGTTGGTAATAATAATGCCTGCTTTAACATAATAGAGATGTTTAAAAAATTATCTGGTGGAAATCTGAATTGTTAGCTTTTTAATACTATAATAGTAGACTCAGGATTTAGATGTATTGGGATTCAGAAGTTTATTTGAACTCTTTCCGTTAAACATAATCTAGTTGTACTTTTTTCAGTAGGCATTCTATTTTAGACTAGTAGAAGTAGTTTTCTCTAGTATTCCTTGTTTGTGAAACTGTTACTACACTTGCTCAGAACATTTGTGCAGAGAAAACCTATTTTTCTGTGGAATACCCTTTTCGGAATACAAATGACTGGGAAGAATTGCAGCATTATAAATAGCAGCTAGTCAACTTGTGGTGAAACCATCAAACAACACTTGTTAACATCAACCTATCTCTTCACAGCTTTGAATCTTAAACAAGAATAGATGTTTCCTATAGATAATGCAAGGTGGATCGGTCCATTAATAAAAATTCCAGTCCCCTTTTAGCAGTATTCTAATATGAGGTATTTGTTTACATAGCTTATATCTTAGACCTTTAACATAAATGTACATTTTCAGGATAACTGACAAATAAGAAGGAAACAAACAATTAAAATACAATAGTAATATAAAATACGATATACAAAGGGCTACTGAAATAGCAACAGTAAATCCAAAGAGACAGTAAAATCAGAATTGCACCAAGTGAAACATGTTGCTAATAGTAGTTCTTAAAAGCCTAGGAGAAGAGATGATCTTGTCTAGCATCTAAAATATAGTATCTTCCCTGTGTAGGGCATGACAAAGACAGGGAGCCACTACTGAAAAGCCGCCATCTGCAAGTATCCACCTAACAAATGTCAAGTACGACACCCGGAGAAAGGTCTCACATGACTATCTTAGCAGACAGGCAGATAGTAAGGGAAAAGGTGGTCCATCAGGTAATATGGGCCCTCAGCCATGTAGTACTTTAAAGTTTAAGGGCAACTATTGCCTTGAGCTTGAAAAGTTACTGGAGTCAGCCGAGTTGTATCATTCCAGGTGGAGGATTATCTCCTCGCTTGGTTTGGTTGCTGGAGTAGTTGCCATGTGAGTTGTCTTCAGTGGCAGACCCACTGACAGTGCATGGCAGTATTCCAGCCTAGAAGTTGACCAAGGAATGGATGATTGTACCTAGATTATCTCTGTCCAGAAGAGGGCACAGTTGGCATATCAGCCTCAACTCATAGAAGGTATTTCATCCCATGCAAAGTCCTTTAATTATTGTTGAGCTTTAAGTGGCAAAGAAGAATGGAAGAACATTTTCAAATAGTGCAGCTGGTTCCTTAGGGAAAATGCAGTCCTCTCCAGACCTAGCTGGGCACCTTCTGGGAAGGTAAACCCTCCGTCGACAACACCTCTGCCTTGTAAGGAATTTACAGCTGAATTTCAGTGTTTATCTTCCTCCTTATCTCATTTGCAGGGAAATGTCCCAGTGAAAGAATTGAACACCCGGCCTTTGGAAGTCTTCATGTGCAGTGTATTAAAGAGGCAAGGCTATGGTGAAGGATTTCGTTGGATGGCACAATATATTGATTAATGCCAAAATCACATTGTACATACTATCCAAATTTCTTCATTATTTGATCACTCAGTGTACATAACTTGAACTCAATAGACTTTGGTTACAAAAGCGTATTTTTTTTATTATTATTGTATCAATTGTGTTAAATTTTAAGTGTAAAGACTGATACAGATTTTAAGCAAGTTTGTCAGTTTGGATCTTGTAACACTAGTCTGTAGTCCTATAAAACCACTTTCTTTTGAGATTTATAGCTTGTCTGTTGTCTGATCTCCCCACCCCACTTTCTTCCTTCTGCTACTTCCCAGCACATTATGTTTTTGAATGCACTTTTTAACAGCTTAGCCCTACAGATTGTTGGTCATATTTAATGCTCATCATGTTAAATTTTTATGTACTTTTTCAAAACTGGTTTTATAAATGTAGAGTGTATAACCGCCTCTCAAAGAATAGTAATGAATCAGCTTATGGATAATTGCATGATGCCTTACAGTTTTCAATAATATACTTTCTTATGCAACGTCATGCAATAAAACTAAATCCCGTTTCTTGGCATCTTTAATGGGAAATGTTTCATTTTAATGTGTCTTAACCTAGTAAAGATGTTTCAAGAAGTGAATATGTGAGGTAGTTTTCTGAAATGCAGCATAATTTCAGTGCACTGTAGACTTTTTAAATTATTTACCTGACTACCTGTATGCTAAGAATGAATCAAATTAATGTTAGCCATGCTTTCTGATAATTGCCATTCACTCACAGTTCATATTGTACAGCAAGAGGTACCATGCCCTTGCTGTGTAGCCTACTGGTGAAGGCCTGATGCAGTACTTTGGAGAATGATGAGATCAGGGGAAAGCTTTGCATACGCTGCTACAGGGGCTGGGGTAGGTGTAGCCCTTCAGATCATGTGGACTGAAACTCCCATCAGCCCTAGCCAGCATGGACCACAAGGAGCAATGATGGGGCTTGCTATCTAACAACAGTCAGGGGCTGCACATCCCCCCAGCCCAACTTCATTTGTACGTGAACAGTGGCTTTTTCATACGCTGGGATTTCTCAGGTAGAAGAGAGGGGCAACGCATATAATTGCCATAATGCCGGCTGCAGTTTGCCCCATGCAGAGGAGGCTTGTATGTGTTCACTACCGAGAATCTACAGTTAGAGACCTGGCTTCCGTGTGGATCGTGTGTCTAGGTTCGGTCTTTTTGTTTATATGGATTGCTCTGAGAGCTTGCCACCCCTCTTGGTGGTTGTGCTTTCTCTCCGCAGTAGCAAAATGGTGCATAGTAACCATCAGTAGCTGCCCTCCAAGAGTTATGTAGACAATTCCTAATTTCCTTTGGCGGGCCGCACTTATGATACTTCCTTTGCGGGCTAGTCGTAAAAAGGAGCTCTGCACTTGCTTTGTCCAAGAGTTCTCAAACAGCTGTGCCATGAGGTACTACACTGAGATTTTAAAACCATTTTAGGAAATAAAATCTCTTGGCTCTGCCAAGGTGCTTGATATATTGATTTCAAAAGAAGGTATTGCTATCCTCTTTGAAAACCAGGCTTTGCTTGAGCCTCCTTTCTTTGAGTTCTGAGCAGTGTCTTCTACACAGACAACCACTGAGATTCATGTTCAAAGTTAACACTTGGCACACTGAGGTGAGGTCCAGTGTAGGATATGTCAACATTGCTTCTAGCCAACAACGCCATGTAATGCCTTGAATGTACTTAAGAGGTGAGGTATGGTTTGGGTTTGCGATATGGGGTGATGATGATGATGATGTCAAAATGTCTGAGTATAGCTTTTCTATGTACGTGCATCCATATTTCTTCAGAAGGAGAATAGTAATGAAAAGGGTTGGCATATTTCTCTGTGACAGCCGCTACCAGCTTTTGAGTCTTCAGCTAACACTTTATACTACAAAAGTAAAACATTTAAAAATGTGTTCATCTGTGTGCCTTCCCTTAGGTAAACCAATGAACTGCAGCTTTGTGAGTGAGCTAATTTAGGTTTTCCTCCCAACTTCAACACAAGGTTTGAATTTCTGCAGTTCCTGGGAAGGGACAGTAATGCCATTTAAACTACTTTCCTTTATACTGCCCATAATTTTCATTCTGCATACTGAATTTGAGCTTGTTCAGTAGCCTTGATCAAAGTGAGTGTTCCGGTTTCCTTTATATGCAAAGAAGAGCTGCAATTCATTCCACATGTTTTCAGAACTTGGGACTCTTTCTTTTTTCAAACTGCTTCAAAAAGCAAAATGCTGAAACCAAGTAAGGACTGATGTAGGGTTTCTCTGGGAAAACAGGTACCTGCAGGTACGCTGCTGTTGCAGAAAAACTGGAAATAAGTGTTTTCTCAAATTTCCTTTACTTGATTTGCCATTTTAAATTTAACACCACCAGGTTTGTGAAGCAGAGGTACAGCAGTCCTCTCATTAGTAAGACGTACATTACTGACCTCAGAGTTGCAGTATTATGCACATAAGGTTAATTTTGGGATTTGAATGTGTCTGAATAGTGCATTATTTTTTCTGAATTTCCTGACTTCATAGGAAGCCTTTTCCTAAGTCAAAGCCTAATATCCATCCAGTCTCTCTTAGATGCATTGGAGGAGTGAGGAAGGGGCACTTACCACCAGGGTTTGAATCGCTGCTATAGCTTAGAGAATCTGGCAGCTTTTTCATCTTCCAATTTATTGTCCAACAGAGAGAGGTCCTGTTTTTCAAACATTTTCAGTGATTATCCTTGCTGTTTGGATCAGCGTAAATATTTCACATCATTTTCTATCCCGCTGGACTACATACCCCAGCAATTTGTCTTCACCTTCAGGAACCAAGCAACAGTGGCCATCCAGGTGTTGGGATGGATGAACTCCAGTTCCCATCAACCCAGCCACCATGACCACTGGCCAAGGATGATGGGTGCTGTTGTTCAAGCACATCTGGAGGATGACAGGCTCCTCCACCATCATAAACACACTTCTGCTGCTGCCTGAGCCTTGAATAAGCCTTCAGATTTAAGTGGACAACTGCCACTTGAGATTTCAGGCATTCGCAAGCGCATACAACTGGTCAAAGTTGCCAGATCCTAACCCAGAATGTTTTCCCACAATCTTAAAAATCCAAGTTCAAAGAGGACAGACTTGTCACTTCACAGCAGATGGAAGATGTGCCCTGCCAGATACATTGTTAATACACAGGAACACCCTACAAAACTAAGTATCTGCAGAAAGCATGGTGGAGAGGCAACATGCTTTACGAATCAAAGCAATCATGTTTTCATTTACAGAAGCATTCTGCAGTACAGCCTTCCCAGCTGGGTGCCCTCCAGCTGTGTTTTAGTACACATTGCCACGGTGGCCGGAGATGGAGATGTTAGATTACCACATCTGGAAGGCAGTAAGTTGAGGAAGCCTGTTGTAGTATTTTGGAAATAAACCCATACTGTGCTCCACACAAGGGAAGATTTCCTGTACGGATTTCTTCTTGTGTTGGAAGCTACATGGTGCATTTTATTGCATGGGTGTGATGGTAAGTGGCAAATTTACCCAGAATTCATGCAATTTCCTATTCAGCAATTGCTCCTGTACAAGAAGGATATGTTGCAACCCTAAATTTTTACTGTGATCAGGGAATGCATATTATGATCTTTTTCTTTCTCTTAGCCTTTTCAGTATTTAGTCTTCTCTGTCAGGGTAATTTACCAGTATTAATAAGCAGAAAAATAAGATGCAAAAGTACAGAATTACTTTTATATGGCTTAGGTGGGAATGTATATGTGGTATGAAGGCTCCCCTTTTCTCTTTTGCTTCTTCCAGCATGTAACGATTTTTGTTGATTTTAACAAGTTATGCATTAAATTTTAGGAAGTGGTCATTCATTTTCTGTGTGCGAAGGTGGTGGGGATGTGAGTGTGTGGCAGGGCTTCACACTTTGTTTCCCCCACTCTGTCGGGTGGCTTGCTTCATAACATTCATTTCAAAGAACCTTAACTACAGCTTGTGTGCTGAAAAAATAAAATTCGTTAATAAGTTCATATGAAGTGTGTCTGACTTTAATGGTCTGCTGGAAAAAATTCATTTTCCTGTATTTGCCAGTGCCTGTTATTACATTGCATTAAGTCTTTTCTAGTATTAATAACATTGCTGGATCAAGAAATTCAAGGTAGAAAAGTGATTGGGTGGCAGATTTTTAAGAGTTATGAGCTCTCCTCACAAGACACTTGATGCTTACATTTAGAAACTGTGCCCATATTTACTACAGATTATTAGACACTTATGTTTCACATATTTTATTATTACATGTATATTCCACCCTTTTTTTCTTTTGTGAGGAACCCAAGGTAGCTACCATGCTCCTCTGTGTCTCCATTTTACCATTACAACATCCCTGTGAGATGGGTTCGGGTTCAGAGTCGGTGACTGGCCAAAGTCACCCAGTTCATTCCATGGCTGGGTGAGAACTAGACTGGATCAGCATTGTAACCACTATACCTTATCAGCTTCCTGGAAATACAGATTTCTCCAGAAAAGATAAAGAAGTTTTTGTCCTCAGTCTTTCACAGTATTTTATGAGCTGTAATTCCTGGCCACCTTTAATCTAGATCACTAATAAGCCTCTTTTACAGGTGGAAAACTAAAGCAAAGCAATCCTTTAAAGCAGTCTTCCCCAACCTGGTATCTTCAACCATGGTTTGCTAGAGGATGTGGGGAACTGTAGTCCCAAGCATAGCAGGAGGGCACCAAGCTGGGGAAGAGTGCTTTGACTTCGTAAGCTGGAATTTGTACCTAGGTTTCCCACATCTTCCCACACTATCTGCTGTACTTCTCTGTTGGATCATGCAGTAGAATTGCTGCCAAGATTTTCCAGTATTTTGAAACTCTGGGAGTATCCTCAAAGCTTTGTGTACTCTGAACCAAACAATGTATTCTGTGTGTCGCTCCAGCAAACCTAGCCCTGAATTATGCAAGTAATGTGAACTTGCACACGTTAGTGGTTAACAGTTCTACTTTTAAAGTTTGAGTTTTAATGGTGTGGAATTATTTACCAAAGACTACAATGATAGGCTCAAAGGAAAGACAGGGATGTTAATATGAGCTGCCTGGAAGAGTCTGGGAACACTGACTATGGAAGATGAAACCAATTCTGAATGCTCCTAACCTTCAAAGCAAATCTCATCCTTGTGCACCATTTGCAAGCATCCCTACTGCAATGCCAGCATAGATGTTCCAAAGATGCAGGCTTAACATGCAGCTATAACAATGAAAAAACAGATCCCACTGAATTTTTGTGCAAGAGGCAGAACATGGCAGAAAAAGGGGGGAATCCAATCCCTGAGAGGCAATATTTTGACAGCTTGCAAAAGAGTTTTCCCCCTCTTGTGTCCTATGTTTGACTATTTCTTTTAGAAGTTCCTGAGTTTGAATGTGGTGAGGAGAGAGTGTGCAATGTCATTTTAACAACTGGAGAGAACTCTCAAACTTGGGGGACTATCTTGCTGTTTAATCTAGTATTTGGAACTGTGACAGGGCAATCCTGTTGCAAAGAAGTAAAACATGTACATCAATACTAGGCATCAAAACCAAGATACTGCATAATCAGCTCACAGCACTGAGTATTCTGTAAAGGACAGTTCCTTGATTCACATATCCGTCTTTATCCCTGCTTCTCCCATTTCAGCTCTACTTCAGCTTAACTGACCTGAAGATGCTCAAATTACTTTTCAGGAGACAGATGATTCAGCTCTTCTCACACTGGGAAATATTAACAGTTAAAGCATACTATCTACAAGTTATTGCCTGGGTGTGCAGAGCACAATGATCCCTCACGCAACAGTCCACTCAGACTGATTCCTGCATGGGATGGCTTGTTCAAGGGTAACAAACCACCCTGGCAACTCATGCCTTCTTTTAAGGGTTGCACCCATAACAAGTTGCCTTGTCATCCAAAACTGTGCAACCAACCCCAACGTGGGTACTGGGAACTGGCAAACATTTGGCTTGGCAAGAGCAGCAAAAACTGCTTGTCTCTTTTGCCAAGCTGCCCATTGGTTTACTGCCCTCCTTGCTACAATTGCAAGCTAATTTTGGATTGCTGTGGCTTTTTCTCCCTTTTTTTCCCCCTTGATAGCCAAGCTCTGATGATCTCCATTTTGACAGCCAATAGCAGTCTCTTCAAAGAGCTCAAGTGGTTGGGAAACTTTTTAGAATTAGTTTGTGCACACAATCCACAGAAAAATGTTGTTTTCATTGTTAATACCACAACTGCAAAGAAACTGCAGAAATTAATAGTTATGCATAGAAATGCAGTTGTACAATTGCAGAAATCAGAACTCCCAGTGAAGCCATTTCAGAGTGTGGCAAGTACCAACCTTGGCATTGTCCCAAAGAGGTCCAAATTGCCTCCCTTTTCTTCCCTTCATTTCCTCTTGACAGCTATTGAAAGGCAAACTGCTGAGGTATAGCAAAGGCATAAGAAATTTCACCTTTTTGTTTCATTCTCCTCAAAAGTGGGGGTTTAATAGGGCAATGGGTGGTCTTTGACTGAGACATAAACAGCCATATGTCTGAGAGATACATACACTGAGAGCCAGTGCAGCGCAGTGGTTAAGAGCATGGGTTTGGGATTCAGGTGATCTGGGTTCTAGTCTTCGCTCAGCCATGCAGCCAACTGGGTGACCTTTGCTCAGATGTAGAATCTCAGCACAACCTACCTCACAGGGTTGTTGTGGGAATAAGATGGAGAGCAGGAGGAGCAGAATGATGCAAGTGCCTTTGAATTTATTATAAGAAAAGGCAGGATAGAAATCTAATCAATAAATAAATATGCATGGCAGGCTACATGGGAAGACATCAAACAAGTGATTCTAGATCTGGAAATACAGAAAGAATCAATGTAGGATAAGATCAAGGCTTTAGGGCTGCACTGTCATTCATACGTAAGTTTCACAAGCAGTAGTAAGTGTATGCTAAGTATTGTAAGGATAAGCTTCGCCTGCTGTTCCAAGAATATGAAAGCGATCTTTCACCATGTGATAGTGGCATAAGATCTATTTATGGGACTGTAAACATGGAATCATCCATGGAGAGGTACTGGAAGCCTGAACTGACCTAGTTCAACTATTAGGAAGGTCGTCTTTCAGAAATACTGAGTGAAAAGAATTCATCTAGATAGTAATGTGGCAAGGAACAGTAATTTTCCACAAATATTATTTCCAATATATTCCTGGGGAAAGAGTAAAGGATCTATGCATTGGGACTTGGCTCTAGCTATGGATTTAATTGCACAATGTTTACTACAAAGCTTCAGAATTGCCGTGTTCACACATGGCTCTATCCCACAGCAGTTCTGGGTTGCCATGATGTGTGGATGTGGCCATGTTAATAAAACATGGTTTGTGAACCACAAACAACCCAGAAGATGAAACCATGGGTTTCAACATGAAACCATGTTGTTGCTCATGGTTGTGAGTTCATTCTTCGTGAACTCAGACGCATGCATTTTTCATAGGTTGTTTTGCCGGGCTACAGAATTGGCGGGCAACAGCAGCATAAAAAATAAACCCCAACCACTCTGCATGCAAGTGCTACAGTTTCACAATAGCATTTAAGCTCGATAGGAGAAGGAGAGAAACAATCCAGGAACCAAGAAAACAAGCCATTGTTCCTTTGCCTGTCTGCCAGGCACATCCTGGATAGCTCAATGAATCATGGGTTAAATAAACCATGAGGCAACAGTATGTGTGAAGCAGGCTATTGATAAATCAATGACTCAAGTGCCAAATATATGAATGGCTTCAGTAAGAGCAATTTTCGTAGCTTTGTGTTATTTTATCTTAGTTGTGTCTCTGGCTGGTTCAGGAATGCTATTTTAAGTCACTGTCACAGATTATGTAAGCAGTGGATGATCTAACTTGCTTGTTTCAACACTTTATTTGCAAGCTATGTCGTTAGTATGAAACAGAAGTTGGAGACTTTTCCCTTGGATGTAGATATTAAATGCATATTTGCTTCCATGGCACCAGATAGCATTTAAAAACTCTGCTGTCAGAGCAGTAGTTGTGAAATAAGGCACACTCTACAAAGAAACAATTGAGTCTTTCCCCATGCTGAGATCTTGTTTGTAAATACTAGTAGATGTAGATGCACAAGTTTTTCCTCTTAAATAAAACTACAAAAGAAAGAATGGAAGATAAGGTCATCTAGTTCTGGGTAGATTATTTTACTACAAGTTTATATGGTATTAAACTTTGGCATTTTCCTGTTTACTAGACAGTTTTCACTTCATGTGAAAGACTTTTAACATGCCTTTCAGGCTGCACCACCACCATCACCAGTGAAAAGAATTACAAAACACAAACATCCAAATTATCATTTAAGTGCTTGCATACGCCTATAGTTGCAGCTACTAATGATTCTTTAAGCACCAAAAGCAGACTGGAATAAATGTGTCTTCAGTATTTTTCATTGGTAAAACTATGTATTTCCTTGGGAAGAGTATTCCAAAGGTATGAGGCCACCACTGAAAAATAAATATCTTGTATTTGTTGGCCTAATGGCTCTTTATTCTCTTAAGGTGACCATTCCAGTGTTAAAAGAAACCAAAATTATACACTAGCTTTCAAAGATAAATATCCTCCAACACAATTGAATTGAGCCTTTGTCCTAGAAGTGCATTTTGATGTGCTTTTCATTTTCAAGGGCAGAGTCCTTGGTGATAAATATTGCAGAACTTGCATGACTAAGAGCCAGAAAGTCAATCTCATAAGAGGAAAGAAGGCAAAACTGAAAGTACTTATATCTAGGCAGCCTCTCCACCCTCACTCTTTCCATATGCTTTGACTTATAATCCTGATCATTCCATGGTGACCTAGAGCAAGATGAAAAGGGAATCTCTGGATTGTGAATAGCAATGAAGACAAAGGGGCAGAATAACTGAGGGAGACACAGGAAAGCCTAGGTCTACATTTGGAGGGGTGGCCATGCTAAGTGCAGATCCTGTTTGCCAAACCATATCTCAGCAAGAACACTGGATGTC